TAAAATAAAATAAAATAAAAATGTGTTGTCCGCAGTCTAAACTTGTCGTTGGTCGATAGTTTGGTCAGTTTCCAATTTATATGATTCATGAGGTACGATACCAAATCGGTGTAATGTGCGCACTTCCATATTCCATATTATCTTACGTTTATACTGATTAAAACAGCCTACCAAACTATCAGCCGACTAAAGGTCTGTAGTTTGCGGAGTGTCTATAAAAATTCGTAACTTGCAACTTACGAAAAATTAAAATAAACAATAAACTTTTAGAAAGTAACCGATGAGCAATGTAAATAGTAAATACGCGATTTCTGAATCACAACCTACTTACTCCTACATCCATCCATTCTTCGCCTACACAATATGCTTCTTAGAACGAGGTGTTTGTAAAAACGCGACTAATACAACTCACTAGTGTTGACAACGTTTTGTATCGATCACAATAATTCAAAGAAATCGCGAAAATTTCGTATCTAGCACGAATTTATATTGAATTAGGTACTACATAAACATGGTGTAAATAATAAAATGTAAATAACTTGAGTAGTATAGTATGTACGTGTATTTAAAAATGCTAGCTACTTAGTACACACGCTTCTGCACTATCACAAAGTATAAATTGACTTTAATCTTATAATCTTAGCAACTAAAACGATTTATAAAATTAATTTGTAAATTGTTTTGTTTCAGGCAAAAAGGCCACGGACAGACGCGAACACAGATGTGCCAGATCGGTGAGAGTTATTTTTTATTTAACTTGTAAACTAGAAAAAGTTTTTAATAATTTCGCGCGTTTTTAGGCATTATTCTAAGTTTTATGTTGGCACTATGCACAGGTGCTTGGTTTGACCTTTAATTAATTATGGTTGCGTTCAGTAAAATAATAATTGTATTTTTATAACCCTCTAATAGAGTAGGTATGTACTTTTTATGCATTAGATACGAATAAATAACAGTATCTTTTTAATACTTTTGCTATTAAAATCAGAATTTTACTAGTCATATTTTATTTTAATCTGAGAACAAGGAATAAATAATTTCAAAATTTGAAATTATTTATATTTGAAATTCAAATACATAAAAAAGAACTGTGGTCAAAGTTTCACTTGTGCTTTCAAAGACCTCATTGCCATCGAACATTCAAGTACCAAATCCCGATTTCACGGTGCGTTTAATTAAACAAAATAAAAACATTTCGACTACCACTCAACCTTTCCGCCTCTCGCTCCCGGTTACACTATCCCGTTGTCCCGAGAGCACAATGAAAGGTCCCAAATCCCTTGTAATCCCCATATTGTCGGGGGACAATTGCCGTGAAAAGAGCTACTTAATAAAATAGAGCACGCCCTCTGCAGGGAGTTTCACAAATTATCACTACCATCAAAGGAAGTGATTTCGAGGCACAATAGGTTTTGAGTTACAATGATTTGGGATCAGATGAAGATGTGCAGATTTTGAGGCCGCTTTTTTGGGGGACGGATTTAAATTCGAAACGCGTTGCACCTGTATTATGGATTTAGGGGATTTTATTTGGTATTATCGAGTATTACTACTAGGTTATGTATAGCAAATCATATTTATGTTTACTTGGGTAAAAAACATAAACCTCAGAGTTTTCTTTATTCGTTTTTGAAAGTTATAAAACTTGCTGCTCGCAATGCTCTGTTGTGTAAATTTGTTCAAACGAACAATCACTTAATATTTTAAAATGTGGTAAACTAATAAAAGATAAATGGTATTTTATCTTCACATAAAAGTAATAAATTAATAGCATTCTTGTTTCACGAGAGGAACATTTTACAAATGCCGAACAAGCAAAATGGAAAGATAAATGTTGTTTGGTATGCGCTCCCACATTCCGTCCACGCCGCATATTAGTTAGGTTAATTAGTGGTTAACACGACGTTAGCTTTTTAACAAACCAAAATAGCACTTTTTGACTGATATAAATCAATTTTTTGAACCAATTTTCTTGCGTAACTTTTTAAATTTGACAGCAGGATCTGGAGTATCGAATTGCTCGCTGTTTTGGTAGCTTTTTCTGCTATTTTTATTTTGTATCCTGTCTATTATTAGGACTTTAAAAGGTGTGCAATGTGAAACTCGCGGCGTTTTTAGATTAACGAGCGTGGTTGAGGTGAAGAGTGTGTTTGAAGATTAATAGTCTAGTCATTACGGTTTTTATGGCGATTGGTAATTGGTTCGAACTCCTTTTTAGCTCGTTCCTTGCCATCTTTATTTATTTATGAGCTAAATGTAGACACAGTAGACAAATAATATAGGACTTTTGGAAAAAAATGTCATCAATATTGTATTTTAGTGATAAAAAAACAGATTACTGAACTTACATTATAAAATTAATGACTTTTATAAATTATGTCATCTCAAAGTCATGTCCAAAGAATATGGCAATAAATATAATCTATTTTTAACCCTTCCATTCGTCATTGGCGACATCGCATCATTTGTTCCGCTCAACATCTGTTTGTCACGATTTTTGGCCGTGGTGAAAAAACCTGCAATTAATAGAAGCTGTGGGCAGGCGGGGTAAGGGCAAGCATGTGTAGGCCAAATGACGGTCGCTGGGGCTACTGGGTTTTAGGGACCAGCATCAGTAGTCGGAACTTCTAAGAACTGACATTCCTTTGCTAGTAAAAAGGTGAACAAAAATACTTGTACAAATAATAGGCATGGTTTTCAAACATAATGATATAATTACAAAAACCCTACCATTTTTTGCTGTTACACGTATTTCTAAAAAAAGACACAAAATGTCACAATAAAAATGATATTATTATTATTTCACCAAAGCAAAATAAAATCTTGATACGCAATTCTGTTAATTATATTTACAGCTATTGATTATGCCTAAGAAAATTAAGTATTACTTTCATTACATTAATTTGTCACTAAATTAATGTCACATAATTCTCCGGAACCCTCGTCAAGAGTCCACGAAGTTCTGTAATACGCCATCCGTCACGCGGAGTGTGCCAGCCATTGTGCGTTTGTCGGAGCCACAATCGAGGTTATTGTTTTGCTTTTGCTTATTTACGAGATTAGTATGGGCTTATTTTTCAGAATAAAACAAGAACACTTTCTGTATAGCTCCTTCAAAATAATAATGATGTTGGAATCAGTAATCAATCTTGAGTAAATACGTGGAAGCCTAAGTAATTTATCTTGCAATTAGTGCTAAAGGACATGACATTGCACCTAAGTAATAATTCAACAGACGTAGTTCACAATGCAACTACTAGATGTGTTATTTTAAAAGGGAAATTGGTAAATTAAAAAAATCTTCTAAAACATTTTTACAGATAAAAGGAACTTTAGAATCCGAAGCTGTTTTATTTATACATACCTACATAGCGTCAATATTTGCTCGCTAACGTAAAACTAAAAATGTGACAATCAAAATTAAATCATCACACCATATGGAATGTCACTCCCGACAACTATTAAAACCTTTGAAGTCTTTTGTTAGACAAAGTTAAAACGTGTTTTACGACGACTACTGCGATATAAAAAAACTGAAAGAGATCTCGAACGTTAAAAAAGTATTCAATTAAAAAGATAGTGACAATGCTGCCAACATTAACCGAGAATTCTCGGGTGCTCTTTTGATATACGATAGCGTTGTTTGATGGACTCTCGAAGTGGCGGCAAAGAGCAAAGTGACACTTGAAAAAGGCGCGAACTAATATAAACAGGGTCTCCTTTTTTCTATACAAAGCCTATGATGTTCGGTTGGACGTAGTTTATAAATAAACCGATAAATCTTTGTGACTTATGTAACCTGTTAAATATTTATCAGAATCGTAATTATTTGGCTTGTTACGTAAACAAAAAGTACAATGGTTCTTATTTTAATGTTATTATTAAGTACTTACTAGAAGTAGAAACTGTTTCTTCAAATTCTGTAAGCATTATTATTATTTTGTAGATTAAGAAAAAGAGGAGGCCTAAGATTCGACCCTGGGGAACTCTGCAACAAATGGGCGTTACATTCCTTTGGTACTGTCCAATATTTACAATTTGACAGCGATTATTTAAATGAATCTACTTAGAAGACTTATTGTTCATTGTAAATGTTTACCTATAAAACATGGAATTAACTACTTGGTTTTGTTTGATGAATAATTGGGACTGTAACCATATTAAAATTTTTAACAATGCTTTTCAAAATCAATAAGATGATGGACACTGCCTCATTAGTAATACATAACAGATTCTATGAATCATCGATTTAATATGTAATAAAAATATTAATAATCCAATTAAACAGGTGCTACACTCAAACTTTGTCTTAGACTGCCATTTGCATACATTTGCCTTAATTAATAGCTATTATAATAATTTTCTTACGCGGAATTTTATCGGTAGATAGGTGTGGTCGTATAATTTATTATATTGTTATATATCAACATTTTTGTAGCCCGTATGACAATGAAGCTAAATCTGCGGCTAACTGTTTCAAATTAAATCAAAACTTGACAGCGAACATGGCATAAAAATGCAATTTGAATTTATTAAAACTTTTTTAAAATTTCATGTTCGACTTCATATTTTATTATCTTTATAAGATTTCACAAGATGTATGTATGGAATGCAAGAGAACTACTTAAGGGTTAAAAGGAATAAAATAATTTTCTGAACGCAACCTTAAACGATGATGTAACATCCGGCTGTCACATGCGATAGCGCGGGAATTGATTAAATGGCGCGAACGAGTCCACACGCTGATAACGAGCTTTTTTTTTTTTTCCGTCTCGAGACACCGTGCGAGTCGGACGCGCGCAGGCTCTTAAATAATAGTAAAATTTTACTCAAAATTTAGTTACCCAAATAAGTGTCTTATTCCATACGAAATAATACCCAAAGTTGTGTACCCAGTGTCAAGTGGACGGAGAAGTGCATCCGCTATCGCTTACCTGTTCGCTCAAGCCAGCGCACGCAACTATAGCAATTACGCCATCGTATTACGGTGCATTCTAGACATGAGTGTTTTGCGTTCACCAAATATGCGAAGCGACTCGCCACAACCAGATCTTTCTTTACGCGATCACGATAATGACTCGCAAATTGCATACGGCAAGCGTAAACAACCAGAATCAGAGTGCAGTGCAGAAATCTCTAAACTACGCCAGGAAATGATGTCTTTTCTTAAAGATTTCAGTGTTGCTCAGACTACAAACATGAATAAAATGAAAGAAGAAATCATGTCTCAACTTAAAGATCAACTCAGTGGATTACAAATAACCTCAAACAAAATAATTGCGGAACAAAACCAATTAAAATCGGAGCTGAAAAGTTTTAAGAAAACAACGGAAGGAGATATTCAGGCCCTTCAGGATTCCTTGAACTACCACTCAGGAAGACAAGATGAAAATGTCCAGAAAATTCAGTCAATTGCATCCGAAGTAACCAAAGTTAACAACATCGGGGAAGATATCCGTCAGTTACGTAACAAAGTCAATGATCTGCAATTTGAGTTAAATACCCACCAGCAAAGAGAAAGATTGGCAAACTTGGAAATTACCGGCTTACCGCAGAAGACTAACGAAGACTTGAGAGATTATCTACTGAAAATCAGCAACATCGCAAAGTGTCAGTTGGCCCTGGAAGACATCATCTCGATTAATCGTGTGGAACCCCGCTCTAAACTACTGGATAAACCCAAAGTAATAGTGGCTAAATTGAGGTCTACCTTAATTCGTGACAGCATCATCTCAGGTATCCGTAGAAATCGCGGTTTGACAACAGTTGACATCGGATTGCCTGGTGAGCCTAGACAAATATATGTCAATGAACATCTGACACCACTCAATAAGATGTTATTTGGCAAAGCCAGGGAAGCAACGAAGAAGAATGGTTACCGTTATGTATGGGTCAAATATGGGAAGATTTTTACCAGGAAAGATGACACCCACCCGCCTGTTCACATTAGAACAATTGAAGATATCAGCAAGATCAAGTGACTTAGACAAAACAAGTGAATTGGTGCTGGAAATAGTATCCTTTATATTATGTGTAAAGTGTATGGTTTTGTATCGCCAAAATTGTATCAACTTTTACATAACCTACTTATATTTCTTATTTAACATATTATTTTGTCCAATAGTGTATTCACATCATAGCTATGCGGATGTAGTCACAGTTAATTACTTGAATTACTGCGTTTGCCACTTACTAATAACTATGAGCAGTCTATTGACATGTTTTTCATATCACAAATACCATAATGTCTTTCAAAAGCATATTTACGTTAGATTGTACCGTATTAATCTGTTATTACACGACATATTGCATAAAATTTTACAAATAGGAACCTATAATGAGTTGTATGTTTGCGTAGCCCGTCATATTTTATCGTGTAGCCGACTATTTTCAATATTTAAAACGTGTACGTACTGCATTGCGACCTTGCCGCGGGACATCCGCCTTTATTTGTATGTGAGTATAAGCGTTAAGGGTAAGAAGCAACTACTTTATTTTTCTTTGATACTTGATACTCAATTGGTAAATGCAACTACATGTATTAGACATCAAAACTTCATATAAATTCGATTCTACAAAACTTAATATTTTTTATCAAAACGTCCGTGGTCTTAGGTCAAAATGTTTACAACTATACAATAACATACTTATAAATGACTACGACATATTAATATTCACGGAGACCTGGTTGCAGAGCGACATATTTGACTCTGAATTGTGCGACGATAGATATGAGGTTTTTCGTCGCGACCGCGACTTATGTATTAGCGGTAAAAACACAGGTGGTGGAATTATGATTTGCATTCGGCGTACATTATGTGCATACCTACGTACCGAGTGGTCCTGTGACACGGCCGAACTTATGTGTGTGTCTGTACCTGGCCGCGCGCTCAAGTTACATAGTAACTTACACATAATATTAACTTACATACCTCCAAAAATTAATAATTTATCTGAACAGTTAGAAAATATACACAATAACTTATCAGGCATGCTAGACATTTTTCCTAATGATATTTATATACTACTGGGAGACTTTAATTTTTCTCACTTACAATGGAGCGATTCTCATAGTGTAATAAGCAATCAAAGTCCACTAGGAAACCAAAACATTGCTGTTACCTTTGTTGAAAATCTTGGTTACATGGGGCTACAACAATATAATTATGTGAAAAATAGCTTGGGCCGTATCCTTGACCTGTGTTTTAGCAACTTTACATTGAATATCAGCAAGCAGAGTCACTCACTTGTACTAGAGGATCGTTATCATCCTTCATTAATGATCGACATCTTAGACTTAAATATAACACCTCTAACAGATTGTGAGCAAACTCGATATAATTTTAGAAAGGGGGACTATGACGGAATAAAAAAGTTCCTCAACAAGTGCGATTGGTCCGTGTTACTGAAATCGGGATCAATGGACGAATCGTTGAGTTATTTTTACGCTATGTTAAATGAAAGTATTAATTTATTTATACCCACATATGTCAAGAGATCCTCAACAAACTACCCCATATGGTATAGTAAGGCGTTAATTAATATTATCAAAGAAAAAACAAAAGCTCACTTGAAATGGAAAAAATCTAACAATCCGCGGGACTACGACGAGTTTGCCATGCTGAGACGTAGGCAACGGCGAATCTTTAAACAATGTTACAACAAATTCATAATAAATTCGGAAAATAACATAATTAATAACCCCAAATATTTTTGGACTTACATAAAATCAAAAAGAAAAGGGTCGGCATATCCAAATTCCTTTGTTATCAACGGTGCCAAGGTAACAGACACTCAAAATATTTGTAACGCTTTCAACACATTTTTTGAAAGTGTTTTCACTCAACCTGATACCTCTTCACGCGGTTTGCACGATAATAATCATATGGCGGAACTACATTTATCTGATCACATTAGCTCAATAGTCATAAGGGAGGAGACTGTATTGAGATATCTGAAAACTCTTGATAAATCGAAGGGACCCGGCTGTGACGGCATACCTCCAATATACCTGGTCAGCTGCGCGGACAGCCTTGTGTTACCTGTTACATTACTGTTCAATCGTTCTCTTCGTGAATGTGTTTTTCCAACATTATGGAAGCAAGCGCATATAATACCAATATTCAAAAAAGGCTCAAAAACAATAATAAGTAACTACAGACCAATTTCAATATTAAACACACTCAGCAAAATGTTTGAAAAAATTGTCTTATCACATATCTATCCTTTAATTTCCAAACAGATTTCTTCCGCGCAGCACGGATTTTTGCAGTGCCGCTCAACTATATCTAATCTAGCTTGCTTCTCTAATCATGTTTTAGCTCGTATGGAGGGGGGTGGTCAGGTTGACGTGATATATACAGACTATGAAAAGGCGTTTGATCGGGTGGATCATTCCATCCTGCTCTTTAAACTACAGGAGCTAGGTATTCATGGCGACTTACTGCGATGGGTCGAATCCTACCTAAAAAACCGTTCTCAGGCGGTTGTTATAGCTGGCAAGAGATCAGAATATATAACCATCCCGTCGGGAATTCCCCAAGGCTCACATATTGGCCCATTATTTTACAACGCGTATATATATGACGTATATAAATCAATAAGACACTCACAGCATTTACTTTATGCAGATGATAAAAAAATATATCTTTCCATAAAATCTATTGATGACTGTAAACTCCTGCAGGACGATCTCAACCGCTTATACACATACTATGAAAAGAATAGAATAACAGTAAACATACAGAAATGTCAGGTTATAAGCTATACGCGACGCAAAAATACCATTATATATAACTACCACTTCAATAATATCATCATTGAAAGGGCTCACATAGTCCGAGATCTGGGTGTTTGGCTAGACGAAAAGATGTCATTTGTATCTCACATAGATCATATAATAGATAAAGCATTTCGTGGTTTGGGTTTTGTGATCCGCAATTGTAAACCATTTAGGTCTCCTATCTGTCTTAAAAGCCTATACTTTGCCTACGTAAGAAGTACATTGGAATATGCAAGCCCAATATGGTCTCCGTTCTTTTCTATACACATAACAAGGTTAGAACGTTTACAAAAAAGATTTCTGAAACATCTGAATTATATTACTAAAACGTCAATAAGCGACTACACGGATAATTGCCGAGCGCACAATCTGCTGACCCTGGAGGAGCGGCGCCACGTGCTAGACATGGGGTTGCTGCACGACGTGCTGCGCGCGCGCCTGGACTGCGCCGAGCTGCTGGCGGGCGTGGCGCTGCGCGTGCCCGCGCGCCGCACCCGCCACACCGCGCTGCTGCATGTCCCTCACCATCGCACGGAATACGGTCGCAATGCAGTGCTCACTAGACTGGCTCGCAACTATAATGATTTATTTCAAGCTATCGACCCCTTTATAGGTTCAAAGAGAAAGTTTAAGGAATCTGTCGTGAAGATCTTATTAAATTCCTAACTCCTTTTTTTTTTATTTTGTACTTTCTTACCTAACATTTAATGAATAAGTACTGTTATCAAATACACCTCCAATCGCGGGGCTTGTAATGTTGGAATGTTTTCTTTAAGTCGCGTGCTGAATTGTGGCGTTGTTGCGTTATATATATAGTGTGATAATATTGTTTACAATTTAAGCTTAAGTAAATATAAATACTTCAAATTTGAATTCAAACATTTATTTGCATAGAATAGTAATAAAAAATTTATAGTAGTACAACATCTATCTACTGTTAGATATACAGACCTACTGTGATCATTGTATCCGACTCGCATTTAGTTTACTATGTAACTAAGGAAAACCTGTAATTGGCATTACTTGCTATATAATTTAAGCATGATACTTGTAATTATTATAAGAATATGCTGTAGATTTTCCTTGAATAAATAAATAAATAAATAAATAACAATCATTTAACTAGTTCAGATTAAAAAATATTCCAGCAAACTTTTAATGCCTGTGTTAATATTAAATTGTTTTCATGCTTTATTTCCTTTTTAATCAAATTATGCTAAGTGAAAACAACGGTTTTCAATGGGATTAAAATCCATTTTTATGGTGCATTTGGTCGTTAAACCATAAGCTTTAGCAAAATCCCCTAAATAAAACATAGGATCGACAGAAATATATTTTGCTTTATAAGAGTAAACTTAACAACTTTTTATGGGCACATAAAGTGCGGTCATAATTTTAATGAAACATAAAATATGACAGACAACAAGATGTATCATATATACATATAAATGTTGTAATAAAAATAGTAATATGTGGTGTGGACATTTGGCAAAATGTCTTGGATTCAGACAGACTGCTTTATTTTCCGATCTTAACCTACTTTTTTTTATGCATAACAAGGCAGGTATTTGACCACAATCGCACCTGATGTTAAGTGGGATGCAGTCTAGGATGGTACATATCTGCCCTGTAAGTGCTTATTCACTAAACTAATACATATCAAGAATGGATATTTCTTACTCTTTCTCAGGCAAATAATACTGTGTAGGCCTAGAATGAGCGTTACGAATAACTTTTGATCGACTTTGCACATTTGATAAGCTCATTTAATTTGTCGTTTAAAATTGTCGATTAGATTTTGTCATGGCGCGCATCCTGGCAGGACGGATTTTGATGAAATTTGGTATAGAGACCCAGGAAAAAACATAGAATAGTTTTAACCTGTTTATAGTGAGACACACGAGCGCGAAAAATGTCTTTCTTAGGACTGACGAATTAAACGCGAGCGAAGCAGCGGGAAAATGTTAGTCTATTAACAATATCAATTTAATTTCTCTACAGATAATTATTACGGCCAGATCACCAAATATTCGTCCAAATTAATAACCGCCTGTCAAACGGTTTGACGGCTCGGATTATAAATGGGGGCCGGTGATAAATTGAGGGAAGTATTTTCCCACATTTTATTAATTCACTATAATCTTTTTGGGAGGTAATTTGAAACGATGAAGGTTTTAAGCAAACAAAATTTCAATTTTT